TAAAATTTAAAATTTAAAATTTATATTTATATAAATATATATTAAATTTATATTTCGAATTTAGAACAAAAATAATCAAAAAACAAAAAATAATAAAGAAAAAAATTAAATCAAATAATAAATCTGGAGTTGATGACATTTGCACATATTATCAGGAGATGAATTGCTTGCAAAAAAATAATGTACAAAGTATAATTAGGCACATAAAGACTTTTCCCTGATTGAGAACATAACTTAATCATTCTCTATATTATTATCATTAATTAATGTAAATGACTATATATAGTTTATATAGTTTAAAATATTTCGTTTCATTGTTATTTTAATTATTAAAATAAATTTTTTTAATTTCATTTGTTTTATTTTTCATTCATTATGAAAATTTCTAATGAATACTTTTTAATTGACATAATTTGTTTTATTAATTATAAAGTTATAAATTTTCAAAGTTAAGTATGAGGTTAAATATACAGATTTTTCTTATTAAAAATATTATTATTAATCATAATATTTTTTTTTAGTTTTATATGATAAATTTATTGATATTTCAAAATGAATATATAAAATAATATTCACAATGTAAATAAATAAGCAAATTAAAAATACTTACGAAATAAAAACTTCTTTTTATATGTTTCTTTTAATATGTTCCAAATCTAATCTAAATTTTTGTGCAAAATTATTTTATATAGAAAGAAACATTATTTCCTGAAAACAAAAATTAAATTAATTTTTAGATAAACAAAAATATGAATGAAAATACTAATAATTTTTTATGTTATGTAATTTGTTAAAAAATTGATTGATCGAATTCAAAATCTAAGTATTAAAATAATTTAAATATTATAAAAGAAAATTGTTATTAAAAATTGTGAATAAAAAATAGCGAATGCTTCAAATCCATAAATAAAATATATAACGATTTTATACAAAGAAAAATTATTTAAAAATTATTAAGAATTTATTCGAAGAAATAACATAAGAAATAAAAATAATATTGCAATATTAATCTTACATCTATATTATAAGAGAATCTGAGAAGTAAATAAAGGAAAAAGGAAGAAAAAAAAGAAAAGAAAGATTGCAATAATAATTATATTATACTTATTATATTATATATTATTGTACTTAAATATAATAATTATACTTATATCTGATCTATTATTATAATACATTTATTATATCTTATTATTATTTATATTTCTATTGGATTTCATTTTATCAGAAAAGTTTCATAAATTTATTGATATAATTTTAAAATGATATATAAATTAAAAATTGAAAAATTTCATTTTTTTTTAAATTAATCATGTCAATATTTATTATTCTAATTATTTTTAATCAAATATAAATTTAAAAGCTATTGTCATTTTGATTTTGATTTTAATCTCAATAATATCTGGCAGCCTTATATTTGTTCAAATAAATTTTAAATCGAATGTGAAATTATTTATATAAAAATTTATTTGAATAAAAAATTGTCATTCACAAATAATTATTTGAAGTTCTTATTCGAATAAAACTTTTATTCTATTCAAATAATTTTATTAATAGTTAATAGTTGATAATAAATCACAATAATGAAAATTAAAAAATTAAAAAAAAAAAATAAAAAATCAATCATATTTCAATTTTTTTAAAGAAACTATAGAATATTTTTTTTATATATATACAAATTGATACATTCTCTTTCTCATATTCTCTTTAATTTTTTAATATCAATTTTTTTTCTAAATTTAAAATAACAATTTTTCTTTTTTATTAATTATTTGTGACAGAAGGATATTTTTCTTCGAAAATTTTGTAAATATTTAATAATAATTTCTTAAATTATTTATTTATAATAAAAATATAATTTACTATAAATTGAAAATTTTTTTTTATTGAAAAAATATATAAATATATAAATATATGTTACTGTTTATTAACTTATTTATTGTTTGTTAACTTATTTATTATTTGAATATTTAATACGTGATTAAAGTATTATATTGAATTATGGAAGAAATCATTCAGGAGGAAAAACAAAAGTAAATATAAAGTGTTATAGGTTTTAATTAAAATTTAATTTGTTATAGGATAATTAAAATTAATTAATTAAATAGTTGTGATTTTTATTTTCAAATCCCATTCATTAAACACGCTATAACTTGCATCGAATTATGGAAGAATTCACGTAAAAACTTGCTCAAAAAAGCTCGGAAATTTTCGTGACTCGGATACGGAAATGGACTAGCATAAGGTAACCATTTTTGGTTACCTTACTTGGTTAAATGAATTTTTTGGGATAGAATTTATACCAAATAGGATTGTAATTTGTACAAACATTTTTGTCAAACAATTGAATTGAATTAATAAAAGTTGAAAAGTACGAATAAGAAAAAATTGTACAATAATTATTTCTTGTTAAATAAAACTATAAGGAAAAAAAACTTAATCTTGATAAAAAAAAACGTAGATAGAATATAATATATGTCATCGCATTAAATGTGTAAGAAATGTGTAGAATAGATGCTTAGTAATTATAAATACATTTAATTTATATATAATTTTATTTGATTTTGTATTATTTCACATTATTTGGAATATAATTAATATAATATTGATATAATAATGATATAAATATTTCTTTTTAAGATATTTTTAAAATATTTTAAGATAACTTAAAATATTATTTCAAAGAAAATCATTTTATAAGCGTTTATAAATTTATTATGTTTTATAAAAATTTCGAATAGCATTATTTTAAATTTATTTTATAAAGTTTTAGATATTTTAAAATAATATTAAATTTATTTATTTTATTGATTAAATATTTCATTAAATATTTTTTATGTCAAAATAAAAATAAAAATATATTTAATATTAAATTATTTATTTGTCATTTCACGAAATAAATTATTTCTTATTATTATTGGTTACTTTCTATTTTTAAAACAATTTAATTACTTATATTTTAATAATATTTTAATAAAAGTAATTTCGTATAGTCAAGAATTTTTTTTTTTGCATAAAATTTTTCATACTTCAAAATCTGAATAATTTACAATTAACTGAATGAATTTTTTATTTTTTACATATATTACTATATATACTATATTTATTTATTATATATACTATATATTATTATGACAATTTTAATGATAATATTTTTACAAAAAAAAAAAAAAAGTTCAATTAGAAAATAAAATAATAAACTCTGTAGTTGGCCAATATTTTTTATTAATTTGTTAAAGTTGAAACGAAAATTTTTACGAAGAAAAAAGTTGCGTAAAATTATCTAAAGAATTTTTTATTTTTGGAATTTTAAGCTATATTCTTATACTTTGTGTACTTGTAATATATAGAATATCAATACAATGTAAATTTATAAGGCACTTTCAAAGAATCGATTGTCGAAAACAAAAATTAGTATAAAATAATGTTGAAATTTATTTATTAAGTTATAAGCAATTGAAGTTTATATTAAATGAAACATGAGACAGATAAAATGAGACATTTATCTGTCATTACATTCTATTTCAATCTCTCTTAATCTAATAAAAATTTAATTTTGTTTATAATTTAATAAATTATAAATAATTTTAATAAATAATTTAATAAATAAGTCTCAATCAATATTTTTGAATATCAAATTTTTGTGTTTGTTTTTTTTAAATCGATTCTCCAAAAACCATGTATAAGAATTAGATATTGTAAAATATAAGTAATCTTATTATGTACATTTATTTATTATAATATGTAGTAATATAACAATAATTTTAATTTTATTTAATAAATTGATATTGAACATTTGTAAATTAATATTTATTAATTTTTTTATTTTATATTTTAATTAATTTAAATGTAAAAAATTTTATAGAATATAATAAATTATTTTATATTTCATAAGAAAAAGAATAAAAAAAAAATATTTTTTAGTATCATGACTTCCTCTAATTCTTGTATGAATTTTCTATTTATTTTTTAATTCTCAATATTATATCGTATTATGACTAAGATTTTTATAATAATATTACTAAATAATTTATAATAACATTTAATTATTATGCAAAATACATATAAAATAAACAAAACATACATAATAACAAAAATATATACTTATA